GGCCGGAAGGCTCGGGCCGCACCCGCGCGGCTGGGGGTGGCCCTGGCTGTCCCCTCCCCCGGGAATGCCTGCTCGTCACCCTCCCTGAAACCCCCGCCTCCCTCCCCACCTCCACTCTCCATCCCATGCCCATCAGGCGCCGGGTCCATGGAGCCCACCTCCTAACCAACCCCCTCACTGTTTCCAAGGCCTCTGTTCACCAGACACGGCTTTGCTGCCCACCTTGCCCCAAGCCCACTCTCTGAGGTGACTGAGAGCCGTTCCGGCCCCAGCTCACGTCTCCACCTCATGCCCCCAGCCCTGTGTCCGTGTGGCCCTTGCCTGGGGCCCCCTCCCTGCGGGCCTGGGGATCCTTGCAGCCCCAGCATCCCTCTGGACAGCTGCAGGGCTGGCGCGCCCGGGGATGGTGCCCACACGGGCCTGGTCCAGGAAAAGCGCCATTGAAGGTTCTGGGATGCCTTCCTGCCGCGCTCCCCCGGCAGCCTCTCCTGGTGGGGGGCTATGGCCTGTTTAATATTGGTGGGTGCAGACCCGCCCGGGCACCCCCCACCCCGTGACCCGGCTGTGCCCCGGCCTGAGGTGGGGAGCGGAACTGGCTGTCCCCCTGTACACAGGCCCACCGCCTCTGCCCGAGGGGGACAGGCCTCCCCCAGGGGTACGCTGACAGCGGAGGGGAGGGGCAGGCTGAACCCTGCGGGGCTCCTCCGGCCATGGTCCTGGCAGCCCCGGCAGGGGACAGCTGCCCGGACACCCCACACGGACATGGGCAAAACCTGACCCTCCCAGGACCTTGGGCAGGTCCTGCCAGGGGGCCCAGGGCCCCAGCTGAGAGTCTGCCCTTCGAGGCAGGGAAGGCAGGGAGGTGGCAGAATCCCGGCCTGTGAGCGAGCCACTGCCCCGAACTCCGGTGCGTGCACCTGTCCCCGCTGGGCCCCACTTATAAAACACAAATACGAGGTGATGAAATGATTCAACGCAACCATGACTGCAGAACATCGTCCCCTCACGCGCCTCCCCCCCCCACCCCGGGCAGGTCACACTCCAGGACACCGGCTCTGCCCTCCCGGCCCAGGTCAGACCTGCCACCCTCTGGGGCCTCCCTGACCCCATGGCTCGCCCAGGTTTCCCTCCAGGACAGCATGCTCATGGCCCCCGACCCTGCACGTCTCCTGTCCTTTTAACTGCTTGTTTGATGGACTGGACTGATCTCTGTGAAGACGGGAACTCTGGTTCACAAGGCCGTCCCCCATAGGTGCCGGGAACGTAACAGATATGTGACGGATGTTTGTTAAATGAACAAGAGAGTGAATGGTGTTCCCAACCGTGGCTCTGTTGGATGGCTGGGGGGGACAGGAGTTCTCTGGCCTTCCTCTGATTCTTGTAAAGCAGCCAATCATGGGAAGAAGAGAAAAAGACTCCTTCCCCCTGCCCCTTGCTCTGCCTACCCTCACTTCCCTCTTGCCGGTTTTGTGACGATGAACACGTAATGGACAAGGGGGCCGGGAGACCTCAGCGGGGAGCCGGCCGTGGGACCGTCAGCGTCCCCGCCTCTCGGGCCATCACAGTGGGGGATCCCTTGCAGACGAGCGACAGCCCATGCAGCTCTGACCCTTGCCGTGGCGCTGGCTGTCTGGGAAGGCTTCCCACACGGTCCTGCCCGGGAACGCATCACCTCATCTTTGCAGGCTCTGTCACCCAGCCCACAGCGCCGTCTGGACTTTCTGAGGGGGCTGCTTTGTTTCAAGACAAAAGGCGACGTGCCCACTAAGATCTCTGACACTCTCTGGAGGATGGAGCGCCTTTCCAAAGCCATCACCCTCTTAGGGACTTGGAATGGAACCAACGCCCCCAGACACAAACCGCTGAAGAGCGGGGTGGACGCAGGGTGTAGAGAAGGGACCCGTCACAGGGGCCTAGGGCTCCAAGGAGCGCCTCCCTACACCTGCCTTGCCCACATCGGACCCCACTGTCTGCATTTTTCCAGTTATCGCCAAGCACACGCTCAAGACTCCCAGCTTCTCCCCAACTGAAGATAGATGGGTCCCGTGGAGACAGGCGCCACGCAGAGGCAGAGACGACGCTGTCTTTCCAGGCCCTGGAAGCATGCACCTGGCTTCCTCCTGCCCACCGCGCAGAGATAGTGCCCGAAAAGCCTGCTGAAATGAGGGGCGCCCACTGCCCTGTCCCCCGGGAGCCTGGGCGGTAGATGCCCGGGGCCACGGTCTCCAGGGGCTTTCCTGGGGCATCCGGGCGGTCGCCACGTTGGTGGCACAGCGATCCAGTCAAGTCTGAAAGTCAGAGCCTGAGTCTGAGACTCTCTGGGAAGACGGACATGTGTGGGCGCCCCGGACAGAGTACCCAGACCCCCCGAGTCTCAGCTTTCTTGTCTTGGAATGGGTCTAATGACTTCATGGGGGAGTAAAAGAGACAATAATGCAAAATATTTAGTGCAGAACTGAGCATCTAATAAGCACTTGGGCAATTTGACTATGACCTGGTTTTCGGGTAAGTCCATCTTTTATCCTCTCCAAACCTCAGTTTTCTCATCACAAACAGGCTGAGGTGGGGAGGAGCCAGGACAACCTGACCCTGGAAAACCCCCTCCAGCTGCAGCATTTCCTGGCCTGTGGACGCGCTGTGGGTGCTGGACTGAAGGGAACATGGCGCTAACACAAACTCTCCCAGAAAAGCAAGCTCCACAGAAGCAAGTTTCTTCCGAGTTACATCCAGGGAAGGGAGGTCAGCATCCAGCCCCGTTACTGGCCTTACGAAGCCTCAGTTTCTGCATCTGTCAAATGGGACTGGTTTAGGAACTGTGTTGCAGGGGACACAGCTCACTCACAGCAGTGAGTCCCAAGGCTGCAGGCGTGAGGCCCCACGGCCACACAAGTGGAGCCAGAACTAAGGTCACCTCCGAGGCTGACCGAGGCCCTTTGTAACCTTTGCCAAAGCCCCCTGATCATCACTAACAAGCTTCCTGACTCCAAATTAAGCCAAAATGCTGACCCCCTTGCTCACCCTATTGCACCCTAACCAATCGTGCGTGCGTGTGAGCTAAGTCAATTCAGCCATGTCCGACTCTTCGTGGCCCCACGGACTCTAGCCCCCCAGGGCTCTCTGTCCATGGGATTCTCCAGGCAAGATACTGGAGCGGGTTGCCATGCCCTCCTCCGGGGGATCTTCCCACCCAGGGGTGAACCCATGTCGCTCACACCTCCTGCTTTGGCAGGGGGAGTTTTTACCCCTAGTGACAGCTGGGAAGCCCTCCCTAACCAGTCACCTAACAGCAACCTTCCAGCAGGAATTTGCTTTGTCTTGAGGCTGTAAAAATTGGCTTCTAAATCAGGAAAGTGTTGCCTGTCTCAGGTCTGTTAGGAGGTCAGCCCCCTGAGCCCACAGCGCCCCCATTTTCTCTGATCTTTGTTCTTAGCAAACTCATTCCCTTCTGAAATGCTCCAAGTCCGGACACTCGTTTCCAGACTGCGCTTGGACTGCCTCAGCGCTGAGCACGGAGCTGGCTCGGCGGTGCTCGCTCAGTGCTGGCTGCTGACCCGACGGAGTCCAGCCCAGCCAGGCCTCTCTGCGGAGCTCAGAGCTGCTCAGCCCGCCCCGCAGGTCTCGGGGACAGGGGTCTCTATCCTCCCGGGGGGTGGGGTGAAGCTCCAGCATCCCCCACCGGGCGCGGGCAGGGGGATGGCCAGCAGGGGAAGGACCACCCTCTTACCAGGCCGAGGTTCAGCCTGTTGTTGTCGTCCTCCGGCATGGGCAGGTACATGGCCAATGCCACGCAGTTGGCGAAGATGGTGAGTAAGATGATGGTCTCGAAGGGTCTGGGGCGGAGTTAAGGAGCGAGTGAGGCGTGGGACTTGCGGGTGGAGCGGAGAGTGCGCTGGGGGTCTGTGCGGACCACAAGGCCGGGCTCTTATGCTCCTGGGGTGGGGGCGGGGACCCTCCTCCAACAGGGGGTGACTGAGACGTTCAGGGACCCGGAGGCGCTGGCTCCTGTCTGGGGGCTACTCGGCTCCAATGCTCAGGCAGTCTTGAGTCCCATCTCAGACCCTACACCCCCACCCCTCGCCCGGCCCCCAGCCCCTCTGTCCCCTCCAAGACGCCACAGTCAGACAGTCCTCGGGGCCTCGGAGGAGCAGNCCCACCCCACCCGCCCTGACTGTGCAAGGGGCAGGTGTCTGCCCTGGGACTCTGTCCCCTCCGTTTACTGGAAGGTACTGAGTTCTCCATAAACATCAGCTGAATGCATGAGTGAGCAGAACACCCCACATGTGCCGGAGGCAAGTGCTCTGAGTGGAAGGAGACTGGGTCGCCAGGGAAAAGAGGGTGGATAATGACCCGGAACCACAGAACTCAGCATCTTTATTCAGCCCCTTGGTGCAAACACGGTGCTACACACCCACGTGGTCTGCATGCCCACAGAGTACAGTATGAGGGGAAAAAGCAGTCCTCTCCCCACCTGGGAAAAAAGGAAAAGGCCACACTGGGGGCTGGGGCTGGAGTCTTGGGTCCTCCATTAAGGAAGTCAGAGAGCAGCATGGACCACAGGCTCTACCCCCACCCCCGCTCCCCCGGGGCTGAGTGCACGCTGCCTGGCCTGCAGCTCACCCTCTAGGTGTCCCTGGGAGGCGGGCTGGCAAGCTCCCAAAGAGACGCTGGTGTCTGAGGCCATCTCCTGGAGAGTCCAGGCGAGGCCTGCCCATCAAAGCAGGCTCGCCTTCTGGGCTGCGCCTGTTGCCCGGGGGGACGGATCAGGGACGCCGTGGCTGGGTACGCACTGGAACCTGGGCTTTTAGACATGTTCCCGCGCGGGGCCGAGGCCGAGCGGGAGCCCGACCCCGGGGTGGCGTCTCCCGTGCCCCTTGTCCGCCGGCTGTCAGGGCTGGGGCCGGGGTGGCGCTGGCGCAGGGAGGATGCGGCGGACCCCGGAGCGCCGGACGGCGGGGACCCCGGGACCCGGCGCCCCCCGAGCCCGGGCGGCCCCAGCCTGCTCAGTGGCTGCACTCTTCCGACTCGAAGAAGGGCGAGGAGGAGCCGCAGGAGGGCTCGGCCGAGTCGGGCGCCAGGGAGGGCGCCGCCCGGGACTCGCGGGGCGCGGCGCCGTCGGGGGCGGCGCTCAGCAGCTCCTGCAGGTGCTTGATGTAGCGGATGGCGGCGCGCAGGGTCTCCACCTTGCTGAGCCGCTTCTCCGCCAGGGCGCCGGGCAGGTGCCCGCGGAGGCGCGCGTAGCCCTCGTTGACGCAGCGGACGCGCTGGCGCTCGCGCTCGTTGCGCTTCTGGATGAAGGCGGGCTCGAAGGGGTAGTCGCAGGCGCCCAGGGCGCCGGGGAAGGGCGCGCCTGGGAAAGTCCCACCCAGGCGTCTCAGCTCCCGGGTTTCCCTGCCCCTCCAACTCCCTCACTGTCTTCTAGGCAACAGCTGGTGGGAGCCCGGTCTTCCAAAACCCCTCAGAAATATTCCAAATATTCCCAGCTAGCGCACTCAGCACCCCCATGACAATGGCCTTCCTCTGTCCTTATCTCCATTCCCCACCCCCCGCCCCCTGTCTCCCGTCCCCAGCAAGCCAGGCGTTTTCATCATTCTTCCTCCTGGCGCTGATGCCAGCGTGAGGGGGGTTCACGTCCCTGTGCCCAGGGTGTGCGGCCACATAGAGCTCGGTGCTCACCCCCTGGCCTCCCAGCCGGCCCACTGGCCCCACCACCCCATCCCATGTCAGGGCCTCCACACCTTCCAGCACCTTCCAGAGGCAGCCTCGGGGCCCTGCGCCTCACCCCCAGCCCCCTGGGCCTCCGTCAGGGCTGCCTTCCCAGAGGCCCCCGGCTGTATCCCAGGCCCTGATGCCGGCCCCCAGAGCCTGAGATCTGTGAGCCCCCCTCCCCCCCGCACGGCCCCTGTAGGATACTTCCACTCCACGATGCTGATGCAGGCTTTCCGCACGGGGTTCTGGAGGGTCAAGCAGAACAGGGCCCGGGGCGGCCTGGGCAGGACCTCCGGGGCAGGCTTCTTGGCCTGCTTCCTCCGCAGGCCCTCGTCCTGGGCTGGGGACGGCTCCATGGCTCCCGCGGCCTGTCCTGCTCCCCCACCGCTGCCCTCTCCTCCCCGCGTCCCAGCGCCCCCGCCTCCGGGACTGGGCGGCCGAGCTGGGGCGCCTGGCCTGCTGAGCCAGCCGGGCGGGGCGGGATCACTCTCACTGCTCCAGGGGTAAAATTAGCCTCCCCTGGCTCCCCGCTGGCCAGCCCCGGGCTCCGCAGCCAGGCAGCTGTCACCCCTCCCCGGCCCGGCCGGCGGCATCCTTGTATGTCCCCAAGGAGGCAGGGGGAGGGTCACACGCGGGCCCAGGCTGGAGCAGCGGACAGAGGGTTCAGGAGGTGATTGGGAGCCGCCAGCCTCACTGAACCCATGGAGGGGCCACCGACACCAGCTCCGGGGTGTCAGGATCAGCCCCCCTCCCTGCCCCACAGCACCGTCCGGAAAAGGTGCTGGGTGGCCCGGCTCAGTAGGGGTCCACAGCCCTCCTGCCATCTTGACTCCGCAGCCGTCCAGCCAAGACCCTGCACTCGCACCCCACGCCCTGGGGTGGGGGCTCCTGGGCATGCACACCTCTGTTCCCCACCCCAC